AATCATACATGTTACACTCGACACAATAAACAGGATAGCCCCCACTCTGCTGCTGGGCTTCTGTCTCCATTTTTCTAATGAATAAGTTTAAGTATAAACTGGGATTCTTTTTAAACCTCTGGAATATAGATTATTCTAAGAGTTATGTTTTAAAGAAGGTCAGAAGTCACTTGTGCCCTCTAACCTCCCTCTCCAAACTCCCTGTCAGCTGTTCCTGGTCACAAGCTCCCTGGTCGCTGAGTCACAGGCTTATATAGCTCTGGGAGCCCCTCCCCCTGCCTGAGGCTCAGCCAATTAAAAGAGGCTTCTAGATTTCAAACCTTTTAGAAGCTCCTTCAAACAAACAAACAAACCAGACAAACACAAGCTCAGCACACAACAAATAACTCCCCCACACACAAACACATACTACAGACAGCCACTTACCACAAGGGTCCCGTTTTTACTCCTCTTTTACCTCCAAACTCCCTGTGAGCTGTGGGGCACCACCAAAAATTATACAAATCTGCTGCCCCTGCCAGCCCCGGAGGAGGAGTGCGTTGGCTGCCTGCACCACAGGAGGTGTGAGTTTAGCGCAGGGTTTTCCTGTGCTGCGGGGGGGGGGTGTGTGTGTGTGTGTTTGTTGGCGGGGGATTTTTTTGTGCTGGTTTTTTTGGCTTGCTCAGTCAAAAAAATTCCTGGAGCCCCCCATTGAAACTTTTTTTTGCTCAACCAAAATTGCTGCGGGGCCCCGTCAAAATTGTTCCTAAAGCCGGCCCTGCCCCTCACAGCGGGGTGGCTGCACTGCACCTCCACAGAGAAAGAGGCAGGTGGGAGGGAGGGGGGAGGGAACGCAGGAGGCAGTTGCTGGCACCTCTGGGAGTCTGACAGAAGAGATCAGATGGACAGGGAGACAGAGCTTGAGCTGTGGGGTTCAACGCTGGTCGCGCTCTGGCTACCCTGAGTGGCCTGTGCTGTAACCGTCATTTGTCTACACGAACCCTGGCCCCTGGCGCTGCTACTGCAGCAAAAGCAGCAGCTGGCACCCTGGACCCTTTAAATCGCCACCAGAGCCCCCTGCAGGGTGCTGCAGAGCTCCAGCTGATGCACTCCAGATGGTGCCGGAGCTCGTGGCCCAGGCGGCACTGAGGACCAGCTGCCCAGCCCCGCCCCTTCTGGGAGCAAAAAATATTCCACACAGGGATGGAAAAAATCCACACGTGGAAGGAAAAGATTAGAGGGAACATTGCAGAGGTCTGGTCAGTGGATAGGAAGAGGATGTCTCAACGAGGGTCTTTTCTCCACCTACCCAATAAAAACCCATCTCCTGTGGCCGTGGCTGTCTGGATTAGGGGTTCCTCAACTGTGGGCATGCTGCAGTCCCAGCGATCCATGGGGACGATGTTTCAGGGAGATATTGCACACACTTGTGGAGTGGCAACCGGCAATGGTCCCCACCCAGGGTTGGAGGAGCCTCCTGCCTCAGGCCAGCAGGTGAGGGGAAAGGACTGGCCCTGCATAGCCATGACTCCCGGGACAGCTGGAGGGTTCACAGCAATTTCTGCTCTGAGCTGCCACCCCTTGCGATTCATGGCTGTCGGAAGGGGGATCTGTACCAATGCTTGTTTCGTCTCTTTTCGTTCTTGTGTTTGATCAGTACATTTTCAGCTTTAGAATCCAACTAAATAAAACTAAAACCTCTGCTGAAAACACACCACACACCTAACTATTCCTGGCTTAATACTGGACTGCGAAAGAATTTAACTGTTTTGGCCCTTGAGATCAATACAAGGCTCAAAATCAGAAAGCCAACAAAAGCAACCCGCAATATGCTATTTATTAGAATTGCTTGTGATTTTCAAGCCAATTTGGGGATTGCCAGGAGCTTGACTCATGACTTCTGAAAGCTTGGCATTGGTAATACCGCCCTTCACAACCCTAGAGCAATGTAAAGGGGAGAAGAGAAGCTGCCTCCAATTATTTTATATTTCAGTATAAACAACGGGGGTTGCCAGCCCCAGTGTGAAACTCTGGCCTGAGTTACGCAGGAGGTCAGACTAAATGATTTAAGGATCCCTTTAATCCATGACTGTACATTGGTGAAAAGGTCTCTTAGTTGAATTCAGTAGCTTCTCCTACAGATTGCTCCTTCATAAATTATAATTGTTGTTAGAAAATAGCCTCATAAAAACGTACCTTCTTTCTCTGCCTTGGATATCAGATAGCTCAGCTGGTAGGGCAGGGTCTCTGGAGAAAGAAAAGGTGGGAGGAGAGGTGATGTCCCCTGATTGCAGGAAAATGTCCTACAGTAGGGCCAGATTCACAAAGAAATGTAGGCGAGCTGAGACTCAGCATCCCAACAGCTAACGTGGGCCCCTGACTGCTCACTGTAATTCACACAGCCTGAGACGGGTGCCAAAGTCCCTGCACCAAGCGAGGTGAGAGAGCTGTGCCCCAATGGGATTCCCAAAAGCTAGCACTCTAGTGACTCCCTGCTTAAGGCTGCAGGGGGAGATGCCATGTTGCAGGTGGGGGGAGGGTGTGCTAAGCCCCCCATCTCTCTCAGGGAGGCTGGTGAAGGTAGCCACTGAATCTGGATAGCTCCACAGGTGCCCCTCTCTGCTTGGGATCCCCCACTGCAACCCCCCTCTTGGTGTTATGTGCCCATGATATTTTTTGCAAGAAGCCTGGGGATGGGGAAGGAAGCCTTCCCCCCTCGGTTCTACTAGCCCAGTGGCTAGAGCATACGGGGGGTACGTCTAGACTACAGGCTTTTGTCGACAGAAGTTTTGTCGACAGATACTGTCAACAAAGCTTCTGTCGACAAAGAGCGTCTAGACGACATCCAGGTCTGTCGACAAAGCAAGCCACTTTGTCGACATGACAGTGTAGACGCAAAGGACAGTGTAGATGCAATAACGCCTTCTGTCGACAGAACTCTGTCGACGAAAGGAGTTATTCCTCGTAGAATGAGGTTTACAGCCGTCGACAAAACTGCTGAGTTCTGTCAATGTTATGTCGACAGAACTTAGTGGCAGTGTAGACGCAGGTATAGTTTTGTCGACAAAACCCTGTAGTCTAGACACACCCAGGGAGACCCCTGGTTCAAGTCAACCCTATGCCAGAGAGGGTGCAGGGAATCCACCGCTCAGGAGTGGCCAAATCTCTGGGCTGCGGGATATTCTGATTAGGGATGTAAAGGTATGTCTACACTACAAAGGTAATTCGAACTAACAGACGTTAGTTCGAATTAACTTTGCTAGGCGCTACACAGGCAAACCGCTAGTTGGAACTTAATTGGAACTAGCGGAGCGCTTAATTCGAACTAGGTAAACCTCATTCCACGAGGACTAATGCCTAGTTCGAATTAACTAGTTCGAATTAAGGGCTGTGTAGCCACTTAATTCAAACTAGTGGGAGGCTAGCCCTCCCCAGCTTGCCCTGGTGGCCACTCTGGGCACCACCAGGGAAACTCTTCTGCCCCCCTCCCGGACCCTGAGCCCTTAAAGGGGCACGGGCTGGGTATGGTGCCCGGGGCAGGGGCAAGCCTGCCAGCACCCAGCCAGCAGACCCTACACCTGGCACAGCATGAGCCAGCCACCCGCTGCCACCCAGCCCTCCGCCTCTTCCCGGGACCAGGCTGGCGGCTCCCGGGACCCTGCCCAGGTCCGCAAGAGGCGGGTGCCCACCTGGTCTAGTGCAGACATCGTGGACCTCATCCACGACCTCCACACTAGGCACAGAAAAGTGCCCGTCTAGGGCAGGAGAGCTGCCAGCCTGGCCACCCAGGAGCAGGTTGGCATGAAAATCAAGGGGGTCCACTGAGACCCCCGACCCTGAGCCCTGAGCTTAGAATGGCTGTACTGGGTCAGACCAAAGGTCCATCTGGCCCAGTAGCCTGTCTGCCGACAGCGGCCAACCCTAGGGACCCTGGAGGGGATGGACCAAAGACAGTGACCAAGCCATTTGTCTCGTGCCATCCCTCTCCAGCCTTCCACAAACAGAGGCCAGGGACACCATTCCTACCCACTGGCTAATACCACTCCATGGACCCAACCTCCATGACTTGATCTCACTTCTCTTTAAACTCTGTTCTAGTTGTAGCCTTCACCGCCTCCTGCAGCAAGGAGTTCCACAGGTTGGCTATTTGCTTTGTGAAGAAGAACTTTCTGTTGTTAGTTTGAAGTCTGCTACCCATTCATTTCATTTGGTGTCCTCTAGTCCTTCTATTATGGGAACTAATGAAGAACTTTTCTGTATACACCCTCTCCTCCCCACTCATGCTTTTATAGACCTCTATCATATCTCCCCTCAGCCTCCTCTTTTCTAAGCTGAAAAGTCCCAGTCTCTTTAGCCTCTCTTCATATGGGACCTGTTCCAAACCCCTGATCATTTTAGTTGCCCTCTCCTCTCCCACCTCCTTTTCCCAGTCTCCCCGAGTTCTGTTCAATAAAGAGAGTTTCTATTTTTGACCACACGTGTCCTTTATTTTGTACATCAGGAAGGGGGGCTAGGGACGGGTAAGTGGAAGGAGGTGAGGGAGGAATGGGGTACGAGCCCCCGATGGGGAGGACTGGGGTGGCTCTGCGGGTTGCTCGGGGTGGAAGCTCTCCTGCAGCCCCCCAATTGCTTCCCCTCCCCCGGATGGCAGCCTGCGGCAAGTGCAGCCGGGCTGATGGCCGAGTGCTATGATGTGCCGAGTGTGGGTCCTCCGGGCACTCCAAGCCCGGACTGCTTTGCAAGCGGGGAACCCCTGAGAACTGTCTGTCCGGGGGGGGGGTCGGGTCCCTTTAAGCACAGCCCTCGGCTAGCCTGAGACAGCAGCTCCACGCTCTAAGTCCTAATCTGATGCCCTGCCAGCACTGCTTCCGGCCATTCTTAACCCCGGTTCAGGGTCCACTCAGTGTGGACATGCTAATTAGCAAAACGCTAATTCGAACTAGTTTTTAAGTCTAGATGCGTTAGTTCGAATTAGCGCTGTAGTGTAGACGGACCCTAAGGCCGTGTCCACACTCAGGGGTTCTTTCGAAAAAAGTACCCTTTTTTCGAAAGAACTTCCCCTGCATCCAGACTAATCAGACTAAGTGACTAAGTGACTAATCAACTAGTTGCTTCTTCCCCACCTCTTCTGCCTCTCAGGAGCAGGAGCCGGTGCTGGAGGGAGCTGGCTTAAAGCCAATTCCCCCCAGCACCGTCTCCATGCAGGAGGCAGGGGAGGCAGAAGTGCAGCGGGGAAATGGCACAAGCAGGATTGAAGCAGTCCCTGCTCGTGCTGGTTCCCACCGCTGCGCCTCTCCCCGCAGGCAGCTCATGTACATTTCAACGGCAGAGGTGCAGCGGGATAGCGAGCACTCCCCTTATCGACTAATCGATGGAAATTCCATCGACTACTCGATTCATCGATTCATCAAAATGTAACATCCCTACTTCTCATCCGGGTGCTCTCATGCGCTGCTGCAGGAGAGGTTCTCTCAGGGCTCACAATAAAGATCCACTGGGCCAGAGACAAAGCACAAGAACTTCTCTGTAGCCAGCTCCCCTGGGGGGTGGGAGACCCAGAAAGCCAGTCCCCCTGCACAGCAAATCAGCTTCAACAGGGGAGACTGAGAGAAGCCCATCTCTGACCCCCTTCTCCCCTCTGGCAGCCAGGGGAGTTAAACAAAGCTTTTCTACATACCAGGTCAATACCCTACTCACTGAGCTACAGGTTATAAGGGAAGCGCCTGTTTCCCTCTAGCCCGGTTATTTTGGGTAAATTTGCATACAGGACCTGATCCAATAGCATTAGGGGTCCAGACAGTAGACGGGGACTGGCGTGAACATGCTCAGAGGCAGAAACATACGTGCCCACTGCATGAAATAGGTGCCTAAAATCACTCATCCCCTCTATGAGGTCTGGTTGGAGCTTTGTGAATCCAAGTGGGGCCTGATTCTGGGTTTTAGGTACCTGAGGGTGTGTCTACCCTGAAGGGCTTAATTCGAATTAAGCTATGCAAACTGAGCCACGTCAATTGCGTACCTTACTTCGAAATAGGGAGCATCTACACAGCACTTATTTTGAAATAGAGCCCTCGTCCTCCGACTTCCCTTATTCCTCATACAATGAGGGTTACAGGAGTCGGAGTAAGAAGTCCTCCAGCTCAAAAGCGTTTTGACACTATTTCGAAATAACGGCCTGCCGTGTAGACGCAGACTCAGGGCCGGATGGAGGCATGGGTGAGCCGGGCAGCTGCCCAGGGCGCCAACCGATGGGGGGTGCCTGCTGACAGCTGTAAGGGGCGCGTGGCATCCCTTACAGCTGCCATCAGGTGCCGCGCGCCTGGCTCCCGCAGTGCTGGCCCGCCCGCATCCCCACGGCACCAGCCAGCAACACTCTTCCTTCCACGGCCACGGGGCCCTACACGGCCCGGCGTGCATGCCAGTAGCCACAGCCAAAACATCTGGTGATTGTGCATGTCTGAAATTCTGAATGGCCAGTTCTGATTGTGTTTAAGACAATGCAAGTGGAAGCCAGGAAAATTTTCGTAAGTCCTCAGCCCTCCCCATGAAGAAGTCGAGTTGTAACAAGCTGTGATCTAATAGGGCAGATGCCATCTCTTTGCTCAGTCACAAAGGCACATCCTAGTATCACAGTGACAGCACGAACCCAGATAACTGTTAATTACCTTGGAATTTCTTCAGAGACTCCTGTAAACAAACGTTTCTTTGGGAAGAGACGCCGAGTCGGTCTCTCAGGTCCTCTGGCACGGCCAATGGCTTCTGGAACGTCGTCTCACACCTACAGGGGGAAAAACGTTTTCTGTTTTGTTTTCTTAGTGAGAATGAACCATCGGGGCGGATTCCAGAGTCCGCCAGACTCCATTTTGTATTCCCGACTTCCATTTTGAATAAGCAAGAGTCACGCCACCCTGGGAAGCTGCAGATCACACGGTGCTTCAAAAGCAGGGGAAAGGTCAGCTGTGGTAAACAACCCAGAATTGGCGGGAGACCCAAGTGGGGGAAAGGTCGGCAGATCATAACGCTGAGGGGAAAAGGGCTGCCGGTTGAAAACAGAACTGGCTGTGAGCGTGCCTGGAATGACGGCAGTGAGCATGTGCAGCAAAGAGCAGACTAAAAACTCAGCAATAGCATCAGTGGACAACCTGCAGCCCTATTGGGGTTCCATGTGTGGCCCAGAAGTCATTTTCTTATCATTTCCTATGTAACTGCCCAGAGGCAGATTTGAACCCAAGACCTCAGGGTAGGCATCTCTACAGCTTGAGCTGTGAAGCCAGTTGGCTCTCAGCTTATACTATAGAGCAGTCTCTCACAACCAGTGGTACAACCTTAAGGGTATTTGAGAAAAGTCGCGAGAAGCGGGGAGGAGTATGTCAACAACTGAAATTTGGAGAAAACTGAATGTTTGTTTTAAGTTGTGCAGTTGTTTTATTATTTTTGTACTTTTTACACCCAAATATTTCATCGCCTGCCTGGCTACAATTAAGTTGTTTAAACAAATACGTTGCAATGGTAGAAAAAAAAATTGTGTGTCTGAAAACTGTAGGTACTGGGGGCACTTTTTTTTATAAAAGGGGTACTTTATTTCAAAGGTTGAGAAACACGGATGTAGAGCTCCCTTGTTCTTATCTCTTGCTGTAAGTGCCACTACACGGGACATTGAACTACTCTAGTTGTGTGGGTTACACCCACGTGCAGGGTTGCCAGACTCTGCTGGTTTTGCATTTGTGTAGTTTTTTTTCCTACTGGTAATACTAAAATGACACGCCCGTAAAGCCAGGGCAGGTGAAGTGAGGTGGGTGCGGATCACACAACACTGACTGTGAGAGCCGTGCACTCCCTCTGAATCCAATCACAGCGCTGATACAGTTCAATTGGCACACCCCACAAATGTCTAGGTACGCAAGCGCAGTGAGCAACACCACCCTAGCCCAAGAGACTGTGGCTGCGTCTACACTGCACTGGTAAATAGGAAAAAGATACACAATTTACCGCAAAGAGTGTATCTTTTTCTGATTTGCTTTCGAAAGAGTCTTTTCCGAAATTTGGTGCATCTACATGGCGCCAAATTTCGGAAAAAAGTGCTCTTTTGACACATCCCTTCTTCCTCGTAGAACGAGGTTTACAGAGATGGCGAAGGAGTGCATCCGCTTTTTCGAAAAAATTTTCGGAAAAGTGGACATGGTGTAGCTTTTCCAGGATACCTCTGGTATCCCAGAATAACACTGTAGTCTAGATGCAGCTGTCTTGGGTGTGACAATCTTGTAGCTCCCTGAGATGCAGGAGGGACACTCATGTGGCCCATTCACTAGGGCAGGTTGCCCCTCGCTGATCTAGACCGTTCTGACAGGACCGTCTCAAAGGCAGAGCGTCAGTGAGCAGCAGATGGGAGTAGGGAGAGGAGTGAGGCGAAGAGCAGATGAGAGCAAAAGGGAGCCGAGAAGGGAGATCTAAAGAAGAAACCAGCAGCAGCAGCACGTCCTGTCTAGCAGAAGACGCCAGTCAGTTATAATTATCGTGTAAGTAGAGTGTAGTTTAACCCCAGGAGAGCATGAGGGGGTGCGGGAAGGATTCACCTACCTGCTGCAGGTGCTTTTGATGTCCTAGAAAAAAAGAGAGCGAGAGAGCGCTTAGTGCCGCAGGCTACAAGTTGGGGATCCCTCTTGTTCTGGGGGGACTCGCTTTGTCATGTCCAGTTGTGCTCCAGAGGCAGTTCCTTGAAAGCCCATTCAGACCCTAGGATGGGCGGTGGGTGTCTTTCCAAACTCTATACTGCCTGTGCCAATAGCGCTTGCTCAAACAGGCCAGACACATGGCTCCCTGACTTGAACATACTTTTGATGGAACATTCACCTGTCTCAAGCTAAAATACCAGGTATGCAATTCTGGTCATCTGTTCGGGAAGCAGGAAGCATTTTTTAGCAGGCTGTAAAAAGAACCTTACTTTCCTAATCTCCCATTTCGTATAACGGGGCTTCCCCCGTGATGTATCAAAAAGACCTGAGATGTCTGCTTGTAAAACAGACCAACTCCATTTTTCACACTGGCAATATTGAAAATGTCCATTTTTGTTTTCCCTCGCTGTGCTAAAGGACACATGGAGAGTCTCCAGTGTGAAGTGGGAACTCCAAGAACTTAATAAACTCCAAAGTTAACAAGTCAGAATCGCTCCCTTCCCCGGCCAGGTGTGTGAGTCTCTGCCTGTCTTACCTGCAAGAATTCACTTGTTGGCTGCTGCTGACACTTCTTTTCCAGCTCACTGATCAAGTTGCTGGCACGGGAAATCTCCTCAGACAGTTTGATGACATGTTCTTCCTGCATCTTCACAGCCTCTTTTTCCAGGGCCGCCAGCTGGGCCAGCAGGAGTTGCTCTTGCTCCTCCAGAAACAGTCGAAGTTGCTCAAATTCGGATACAATCTTCTGCCTCTCCGTTTCTATTTTTCCCTGTCACAAAGCAGCAGAACCAGGGAAAGTGCGGGTCAGGAATACGGAGAGTCTGGGAACAGTTCTTAGGGCATGTCTACACTGGAGGTGAAGGCTGACTTAAGAGACGCAACTCCAGCTGCGTCAATTACCTAGCTGGAGTCGATGTATCTTAAATCCCCATCCACACAGTGGGAGGTTGACAGGAGTAAACACTCCCATTGGTTTCCCTTACTCCTTGTGAGAAGCAGGAGTACTGGTGCAGACGGGGGCGCCCTCTGAGTTTGAATTAGTGGGTCTTCTCCAGACCTGCTAAATCAAACTCCGGAAGATCGATCGTGGCAGCGTCAATCTTCCCTGTAGTATAGACCTGGCCTTAGAGCCCTCTTTTCATTTCAGTGCCGGGAGCAGACCGGGTGGAGCAGGCCTCTCTAGCCTTACCCCAGTGCGCTGGGGAGTGAACCACTCCAGCCCCACTGGAGATGTCCCCCACCCATCTGTATTTAACTGTTTAACCAATTAAACGGGATTTTACATCCCTTTTTTCTCATCGGGGTGGGTAACTACAGGTTGTCCCCAAGTGGTATGCAGTGTAGCTGGAGCCACAGCTAACTCAGAGCAGTGCTGTGTATGGACAGGGGCAGACACTCCCACAGAGAGAAATACCAGCCCTAAGGGGTGTAACTGCTGGGTCAGAGCAATAAGCACCTACCAGATATTCCTGGCTTTGCTTCTCCCCATCCCGTTTCCACTTCAGAAGCTCTTCTTGCTGTATCTTCAGTTTGTCCAGTTGGGCTTGAATTTTTTCCTGAGTCAAGAAAAACAAGGTGAGGGGAGGGGGGAGGATGTCAGGCGGCGGAGGCCAATCTGTTCAGGTGACAGTCTGAGGAAATGTTTCAAACGGCAGCATCAGCGGAGGAGGTTTTGGAAGAAACAGATACATTAAAAAGTAATAAGTCACCAGGACCCAGATGGTTTTCACTCGAGATTTCTGAAGGAATTCAGATACGGAATTGCAGATTTACTAATCACTGCATGTAATGTATTGCTTAAACTGGACTCTGTCATGGATCAGTAACAGGTTAGCAGATAGGAAACAAAGGAGAGGACTAAATGGTCATTTTCACAATTGAGGGAGGTTATTAGCAGGGTCCTCCGATTACTAGCAGGTCTGAAGCAAATCTATACCGGGAAGGGAGCAGCACAGTTCAACATATTCATAAGAGCTCAGGGGAAGGGAGCAAACAGTGAGATGGCAAAATTTACAGATGATACAAAATTACTCAAGATAATTCAGTCCAAAGCAGGTAATGGAGCATTCCAAAGAGATCTCACTAAAACTGAGTAGTTGGACCACAAACTGGCAGATGCAATTCAGTGTTGATAAATGCAAAGTAACATGCATTGGAAAACCGAATCCCAACTCTACATAGAAAATGACGGTGGCTAAATGAGCTGTTGCCACTCAAGAAAGAGATCTTGGAGTCACCTCTGGAAACATCTGCTGAGTGTGCAGCTGCAGGCCTCAAGGCTAACAGAAGTTTAAGAACCAATAGGGAAGGGATAGACAATAAGAAACCATTTCATACTGCCACTACATAAATCCATGGTACGCCCACACCTTAAATACCACACACAGTTCTGTGGGCCCCATTTCTAAATTTGGTGCATAGCACAAAATTTATTCCACACATGGATGGAAAAAAATTAGAAGGAACCTTGCTGCACAGCAGTTTTTTACCTTGTACGCCTGGGCAGCCTCCTCTATCGGAACCACAGTGTGAGCGCGGTGAGTCTGGGACTCCCTGCAGATGACGCAGATGAGCGTTTGGTCCTGGTTACAGAAGAGTTTAAAAGGCTCCTGGTGCACCTGGCACAAATTTTCTCTTCCTGATGCCTGGAAATTCAGCTGCTTGGCTATGGATAGGACGCTGGCCAGCTGCCTGTTGGGCCTTAGGGTCTTCTGGGGAAAGGTCTCTCTGCACTGGGGGCAGGAGATGTCCCTATCAGATCCCTCCCAGCACCGGCTGATGCAGGCTCGGCAGAAATTGTGCCCGCAGTCTATAATCACTGGGTCTTTAAAATACTCCAGACAGATGGAGCAAGTCGCTTCATCTTGGAGGAGTTTCAAGGGGTTCGCTGCAGCCATGGCTTCCTGCGGCCACTGTAACAGGATAAGTTTCTTTCCCTTGTTACTCATCAGCACCAGCTGGGTGTTTCCTTTACTGGGCCAGCTCACTTTGTCATTTCCTAGGGGGGGTTCCCGGGTTAGTCTGCAGCTGTAAAATCAATGAGGAATCCTGGGGCACCTTAGAGACTCACAGACTGATTTGGGTAGAAGCTTTTGTGGGTAAAACCCACTTCATCAGGTGTCTAGAGTGGAAATCACAGAGAGAGGGAGACCTATAGAAATATGAGCGTTTCCTTTCTCTCTATTAGAGCCACATGACCTGGGGCATGGGAGGAGAAGTGAAGCTTTGTCAGAGGAGAGAAACGAAACTGATAGTAACAAGGAAAAACTTGAAAAACAACAAATAGTCTAGTAGCCGCATGTCAAACTTGAAGCCAAAAACTGATAGCTTTCAGGGCCACCGGAGACAATGTACTTCTATTAGAAAGTCGTAATGATTTATTATTATAGATTATATTTTAGGTATATTTTATCATATTTTTTCAGGTCTAGTTTGAATATAATACAAATAATTTGATGTGTAAAATTGTTGTTATTTGCATCCATGAAGACTTTGAGTTTAAGGTGCTTCCGCCCCCCCCACCACTCAACCCCCACAACTCTAACCCAATGCCATCCCCCTCCCGCAGAGCCAGGAACCCCCAGCCCCCCACACTCTAACCCAATCTCTCCCCCAGAGCCAGGCACCCCCATATCCCTGTTCTAACCCAATGCCTCCTCCCTCCCCCAGAGCCAGGCACTCCTAGCCCCCCTGTTCTAACCAAATTCCCCTCTTCTCCCCCCGAGCCAGTCCCCTCCTCCCCCCACTCTAATGCCTGGGTCCCGGAGCCACTGCCGCTATCTACTTGTTTTGTTAGTCTTTAAGGTGCTACTAGACTATTTGTTGCTTTTTAAGTTCTTCCCGTTGCAGACTAACTTGGCTCCCCCTCCGAAGTAAAAAGGAGGGTAATCCAGCCATCCTTTTTGCTTTGGTTTTGTGTCTGTGATAGTCAAGAATGGCTACGCATCAGCCTGCGGCCTTGGTTTTGTCACTGGGACTTGATGACATCAGTTCAGACTGGATCAAACCCGTGATCCATCTAAACCAGTATCCTGTCTCTAACAGAGCTCAGCACCAGATGCCTCAAAAGAAAACAGAAGAACAGCATCTAGATGGGGTGATCTGCCCCCACCACAAAGGTCTCACTGGCTAAATCTACACCCTGCAGTAAACCTAGGCTCAGATTTACATTTAAGGCCAAGCTCTTCTCAGTACCTTAGTTTCCCCATCTATAGAATAGGGCTAAAGATAGTGACCGCATTCGTAAAGCATTTTGAGATCTAGTGATGGGAAAATAATATACTATTACTCATCTCTAATAGAGATCATTTTAAGCTTTGACCTTTTATCCCTTCCAAAATTCTTTATTTGCTTTACTGCTGGATTTTCTGGAAAAACGTAAAAAAAACAGCGAATAGTCTAGCACCGTAAAGACTAACAAAATATGTTGCTGGGAAAAACCAAGAAAGCTCATGATACCATCTACATGTTTTGTTGGTCTTTAAGGTGCTATTAGACTATTTGTTGTTTTTTAAAGTTTTTCCAGATACAGGTGAATTCAGCTACCCCTCCGAAGCTGGATTTTCTAGTTATCCATATCAATGCCCAATCCCTTTTTGTGAAATTTGCAAAATTACTAGCCTCAATGCCACCTTGTGGGAATGAGTTCCACAGCCTAATTACATGGGCTACGTCTAGACTGGCATGATTTTCCAGAAATGCTTTTAACAGAAAAATTTTCCGTTGAAAGCATTTTCGGAAAAGAGCATCTAGATTTGCACGGACACTTTTCCGCAAAAGCACTTTTTGCGGAAAAACGTCCGTGGCCAATCTAGACGCGCTTTTGCGCAAAACAAATCTCAGCTGTCTACACTGGCCCTTTTGCGCAAAAGTTTTGCGCAAAAGGGACTTTTGCCCGAACGGGAGCAGCATAGTATTTCCGCAAGAAGCACTGATTTCTTACAGTAGGAAGTCAGTGCTTTTGCAGAAATTCAAGCGGCCAATGTAGACAGCTGGCAAGTTTTTCCGGAAAAGTGGCTGATTTTCCAGAAAAACTGGAGACACAGCCATGCTGTGTGGAAAAGAATTTTTCATTGGTTTTGAATTTGATCTCTTTCAATTTCATTGACTGCCCTCTTGTTCTTATGAGACAGAAACAAAAGATGATTCCAACCTAATTTTTCTGTCCTGTTCCTTATTTTATACCTTTCCAACTTATCCCCTCTTGTTCCTCTGCTTTCTAAGGTAAGCAGTCCCATTCTTTGAATCTTTCTTGAGAAGTTTTTCCAAGCCCTTGCTCTCTCTCATTATCCTTCTCTCAATCCTCTCTAATATGGGAATATTTTTTTTCAGATGGAGTGGCTAATACTGAACACAGTATACTAAATAAACTTTAAAAACAACAAATGGTCTGGTAGCACTTTATAGACTAACAAAACATGTAGATGGGATCATGAGCTTTGTGGGCACAGCTCTCTTCTTCAGATGACCGGAGTTTTGAGTTTAGGATGTGCAAACCCAAAATAATAATAAAAAAAGTAAAGGGAAAACATCAATTATTTAAATATGTTACCATGAGTGGTGGAGGTGACTGCCCCATGCTGGCCAGAAGGGATTAAAGCAGGCTGTAGGGAGCTTGCACAAAGTCCTGTCCAATAAGAGAGGGGCTCTTAAGGCGCCAACCAGAGGGCAGCTTGCTGAAGCAGCCTGGTATATAAGGAGCTGCACAGTAGAGCATGAACATTGCGGGCTTGAGCAGGGAGGGTGAGGTTGTTGGGTAGTATGACAGTGGTGCTGGGCAGGCTCCGGGGAGCCAGAGACAAAGGTGCCAGGCTGTGGCCTTGTGACAGGGGCCAGGAGGGTGTAAAGGGCCACAGGGGAAGTGGCCCAGGGCGCAAGAGGCAGACAAGGGGAGGAGAAGAGGGAGGACAAAGCTGCTGTCAGGGCATCACTGGGTCAGATCCAGACTAGTGGATGGACCTGGGTCCCCCTCGCAACTCACCTTGCCACCAAGGCATGGCCCATGCAGACTGTGGCTTGCCCCTAAGATAGAGGGCCTGGTCTTGGAGGCTACCGCTGGCCACAGTGGTGAGTGAAACAGGGAACTGATGATCCTACCCTCTCCGTGGCAGGGGGGCGTGGTCCATACAGGACGTGGCTTGCTCCTGATGCAGAGGGCCTGGGCTTGGAGGCCACAGCTGACCACAGAGGCAGTAGAGAGTAAGGACTGCTGATACAACCCCTACAAGAGGGCAAGAGACCACTGTCTTGGGCATTGCCGGAGGGCTGTATCCTGAAGAGGATGCTGCGGTCTGGGAGTGACGTGGGTCCGAAATGTGAGCATGGACAGGGGAGATGCTAGTCAGGAGGAGGCACTTAGCTACCAGCAGGAGGCACCACCGTGGTGAGGTCTGCCCCCTGACACCATGTTATTCCTCCAGACCTTAACTTTGTGATTAGGGTATTTTCAAAGCTATAAAGCCCTAAGGGATGGCTATTATGGTTCAAAAGGGTTTGCAACTTAAATCCGTCCTTGAGTCAGAATTGCCGATTGCCTAATGTCCTGAACCTCAGTACAATTTTGTGGCAAAGAGCCACATTTGCAGAATATTGTTTCCTGGCTGGGTGCAAATAGTTACTCTTGGACGCTGGTGCAGATGTTCAAAATGTTCCTGCTGGCAATAGATATGTAGGTGGAATTCAGGAAGCATGAAGAGCCAAAGAAAGAAGCTTTAGGCTTGTCAGAATTCCATTTCGACTCTTTTCGTTTCAAAGGTTACTATCAGTGGGCGAGTTTTAAGCATTCACGCAACACTAACATTTTCACAGTGGCACTAACTTGTGGGGGTGAAGCATTTTGTTCTCACTTTTATCTTTTCTTTTTTTTAAAAATTGGGATGGGATAGGCATATGCGCAATGCCGCTACGCCGATTATTTTCAGGCATAACGGCATTGCGCAAGAGGGGTTTTCTTTTGCAAGAAGGGGCCGTGTAGACAGCTCCCTCTGGCGCAGGAGCCTCTCCGGCAAAAATGGCGGCTCATTCGGTATGCCGACGAGGCTCGGTGGCATTCCACACGTAGCCTCATTTGCATACTTCTGGCGCAAGAAGCTGTGAGTGTAGACGTCGCCGTTCTGTGCTTGTGTCTGAAGCTGTAGGCACTTCCCAGGAGGGGCCTGCTGAGCCAGTGAACACTCAAGGGGGAAATGTTATCAATGCAGCCGGTGAAGACAGTTCTGTGACACTGGGGCGATTAATGCAAGGGGTGCCCAGGCCTGCTGGGAGCAGTGTTGCCTCTAAGCTGCGTGCTTGTGCAGCTGCTCAGGAGAGATTCAAATGCCGCTCCGCTGATGAGCACAGCGCCCCCAAAAAGGTTTTGTGTGTCTCTGGGTGGTGCACATCCGCACCGACCTCAGTGCCCATAAAATTTATTCCGCGCAGGGATGGAAAAGCCTTGAGGGAAGGTTGGCTGTGAGGGGAGGTTTTGCTGCCCACCCTGCAGAGCGTTTGGAAAGAAAGGAAGCTGCTGACATGCTCCCCCCCAGCAGCGAAGAAGTCGGGCGCACACACTGCGTATTGTGACTGCATTGCAGAGACGAGGGCTGGACTCACACGCAAACAGGGGCACGTCAGTCAGGGTTGGGTGTCTCCTCCGGCTGGCGCGCTCCACTGAGATTTCTAACAGTCCTGCCGCACCTTGCTGGTGCCTAAACCCGCTCGGTGCCTGTGTCCTCACGGTGACAGGTGCCTTCGTGTCTACTTCCGAGAATCTGCATGGCTGCTTTACTCTAGGCTGCTGCATAGGGCTGTCACTAGGGGGGCGCAGGGCCTGGGGCAACCTTCTCCCCCGCACTGCCCCAGATGCTGGGCCCAGGGCAACCTCCCTGCTGCAGGCTCTGCCCCCACCCTGCCCCGTCTCACCTGTACTCCACCCGCTTCCCCCAAGCAATGCAAGATGGTGAATTACCGGGTAGCCTGGCATAGGGCAGCAGCCCCCCTGCCCCAGAGCGACCCGGCAGCACGTTCCACCATGGGCGGAAGGCGTGAGGTGGGAG